GATTCCACCAAGGAGGTGACTACAATCTCATCATGGGGAATAACTATATCCAGCTGCAAAGCCACTCAAAACCATGGCCAAGCCACTCAAAACTAAAGTTGACACACAATCTTAACTACCACATATATGATCAAAAACCGATGACACTGAAAGAAGCCCAAGTTGTACTGAAGGCATTGGTGAAAAACAAGGTTCCAGAAATTGATGGAATACCAATTGAGATGTTTCAAAAACAGATGTAATACTGGAAAAGCTCACTTGTCTTTGCCAAGAAATTTGGAAGACAGCTACCTGGCCAATCGACTGCAAGAGATCCAAATGTCCCCATTCCAAAGAAAGGCGATGCAACAGAATGTGGAAATTATCAAATATAATCATGAAAATCACATACAAGTAAAATTTTGCTGAAAATTTAAAAATGGTTGCAGACGTATACTGACAGGGAACTACCAGAAATTCAGATTCAGAAATTCAAGTGTAATGAGGGATATATGTATATATCATTGCTGATGTCAGATGGATCTTGGCTAAAAGCAGAAAATACCAGAAAGACGTTTACCTACGTTTTACTGCCTATGCAAAAGCATTTGACTATGTGGATCTTAGCAAATGATAGATGATAATGCAAAGAATGGGAATTCCAAAACACTTAACTGTGCTCATGCAGAGTCTATACATAAAGCAAGAGGCAGGATTCAAACAGAACAAGGGGATACAGCATGGTTTGAACTCAGGAAAGGTGTGCACCAGTGTTGTAACCTTTCACCGTACTTATTTAATCTGTATGCAGAGCCAATATTCTGAGACACTCATATGAAGAACATGGCATCTGGACTGGAGGAAGACTCACTAACAATTTGTGATATGCAGGTGATACAACCTTGCTTGCTGAAAGCAAAGAGGACTTGAAGCACTTACTGATGAAGATCAAAGACTAGACCCTTCAGTATGGATTACACCTCAATATAAAGAAAACAAAAATCCTCACAACTGGACCAACAAACAACATCACAATAAACACAGAAAAGACTGAAGTGTCAAGGATTTCATTTTACTTGGATCCACAATCAACACCCATGGAAGCAGCAATCACAAATCATATAACCTATTGCATTGGGCAAATCTGCTGTAAAAGACCTCTTAAAATTTTTAAAAAGCATAGATGTCACTTTTAGGACTAAGGTATGCTTGACCCAAGCCATGGTATTTTCAATCACCTCACATGCATGTGAAAAGCTGGACAACGAATAAGGAAGACTGAAGAAGAATTGATGTCTTTGAATTACGGTGTTGGTGAACAATATTAAATATACCATGGACTGCTAGGAGAACGAACAAATCTGTCTTGGAAGGAGTAACAGCTGCATTTCTTTTTAGAAGCAAGGATGACAAGATTTCATCTCATGTACTTCAGACATGTATCAGGAGGGACCAGTCCCTGGAGAAGGACATCATGCTTGGTAAAGCAGAGAGTCAGCAAAAAAGAGGAAGACCCTCAACAAGCTGGATTGACACAGTGGCTGCAGCATGGGCTCAAACACAGCAATGACCGTGAGGACAGTGGCAGACTGGACAGTGTTTCATTCTGTTGTACATAGGGTCACTTTGAGTCAGAATCAACTTGATGGCACCTAACAAAAACAATAAACTTTTCAAGTGCTTTTATATACATTATTTCTCTAATTCTCAAAAAACCCCATAAACTGAGCCTCATAAAAGTAAGAAGCCTTCAAACTATTCTCTGTACTTCTGGCCAAGTAATCCATCTAACATGACCCATCTAACGTTACCATAATTCACCTAGCACTTCCAGGCTCAAATTCTTAAATGCCTTGACAGAATGACGTCTGTCTTTATATATCACTCAAAGTTCTTCATAATCTGAAGGATATTTGTCCATCCTTATCTCTAGTCATTCAGACTTTATGTTCTGATAAGGCTGAACTTTTTGAATCCCATGAACATATGTGCCTGCACCTCCATGCCCTTGCTCATGTCTTGTCCCAGGACACCCACCTCCTCCTATGCTCCATTCCCATCCCTGACCTCATCACTCAATGTCAGCTCCCATGCTGACTCATCGGTTAGACTACTCTGTTTTTATCACTCTGATGGCCCTTCATACATGCACCCACTTAATGTCTAAATATACTCTTGTTAAAGCAGTTATTTTTTGCTGGAAAAAAATTTCCATTTCTCTCCGTGTTCCCCAAGGGCAGGGACATAAAGCTAATAAGTAATACAAGCAGAACTCAATCCCAGGTTAGTTTAACCTCAAGTTCATGCTCTGACCACTTGACCATACCATACTGCAAAGGAGATCAATCAATACACATCAAAAATTAGTCTATGGCAGCAGAGTGGTTTTTGCCACCATAAAATAAAAGAAAATGGAAAATCCTTGAAACCTTTTATCTATCTTTGTTCTGTGGAAACAACCTAGGAGAGTGGGTTGATAATGCTGGTATGCTAGGCAACCCAAGAGAAATGCTCCTTTCTGGGGCCAGCAGCCATGAATGACTATTTCCAGGTGCATCTGTGCCACCTGCTTGCACAGTGCCTCAGGAATAGAGCTATGAGCAGATGCCAACAAGTCAAAGAAGGAAAACACCAACAAACATGTAGAGACTCTATCTGTACATTTGGACAGAAATGCTTGCAAACTCTATCCTCCTATCTCCTGAAGACAGACAGATGCATGTTCATTTGCACTTCTCTCACTTCTGAGAACACCAAATGATTCTCTTGGAAAATCACAGCCCTTGGTCAATAAAACATTTTAAGATGAAGTGGAAGTGAGAGAGGGTTAATGAAATGAACAAAGAGGAGAAAGAGTTAAAAGGGGAAAGAAAATGCATGTTTGTTGAGAAACTGGAGATCAGTAGTACTCAGAAAGTTCTGAGTGCCTCCTTGCCCAAAGAAAACTACTTCTTTCTGAGTAGGCAAAAGGTCAAGGAGTAGGTCCTGCCTTAAACTTAATAGGAAAGAAAAAATTAAGACAGAATTCAAAAAAGGGCAATGGGGTATTACCAGACAAAAGAGGAAATAAAAGCTCTTGCCAGGTTTTCTTTGCTAATGTAGAGAATGCATGAATTGACAAAAGATTCCAAGACTTTCACTTTCTAGTCCTATAAACATTTAGGAAACTGACAATCGTGGGAAGGAGAAAGGAAACAAGGGGACCAGGTCCATGGGGATGAGGTTATGAAGCAGAAAAGAATGAAAGTGGGAGTAAGAGGCATTCATTTGTAAAGCTAAAAGAAAACTCCAAAATAAAAACAGCACTTCTTTGTTTATCTCAAAAATAGTCAACTATATACATACATATTGCCATACCTCATATCATAGATAATTTCTAAGTTTTTTTTTTCCCCTAACAGAACAGAGTGGAAAAAAATGAAACAAAACTTGGCAGAAGCAACAATCCTACAGATTGCTCTTCAAGTAAGTATTAGTGGCATGAAAAGAGAACACTGAGATATAGAGTCCAATTTCATTTTACAGTGGATACCTGTAATGAAAGAAATTTTTAAAAAGACATTTTTTTCCTAATAGATTGGCAAAGATTTAAAACAAACAAACAAACAAACAAACAAAAAAAAAAAAACCACTGGCCAACTTGATACTAGAGAAGGTATGAAAATAGTCACTCCCATGAACCATTTATAAATTAATACCTTCTTTCTGGTGAGCAGTTTGGCAGTGTGTATCAAAGTGCAAAATGTACACAATCTACGATCCAAGAACTTTCTCCTTTAATTATTTATGCTAAGGTGATTATAGCATACATACTTACAATGAGTGCAAAGGGAAATTTATCACAGCAAATTTTGTTTTACTTGCAAAATTTAGATATACCTGATGTCCATCATAGGAACCTGGTAAAATAAACTATGATACAAACATACATAGTATGTGGTCATTAAAAATAATGGTATGGATTTATATTTATGGGCATGGAACATACTGTCAATACAAAAAAGGTTAGAAAACAACAGGTAGTCCCATGCAGGTGCATCCCATAAAATGGCAGGCAGGATAGGTGCAGCCCCTGAGCCAGCACCGGCTTTTGCCTGGAGTTGTCAGCCCTGATTCTACTCTACTTCAGGAAGGTTGTTTATCATTATGAAAATCCTAGAAACACAGCATCCCTTGACAAGACACAACAATCACATCAGCTGCCTGCCTTCCCCCTGCCTCCCCTCCCCATGCCCTGGCCATACAACCATTCTAGATGTAAAGAAGTCCTTTGCTCTACAATACAGGAATTATGAGATGTGTACAGTGTTTGCCTTGCACATGTGGCTCTAACAGCAACAAACACAGGTTTGTTTATTTCAGCCCACTGGGATCACCTCAACTGATCTTTAATAGTATGATTATGGCTAGAACTAAGTCTTGTATGGTCTCAAAACTAAAAGCAATAATGAAATCTTAAAATGGCTCTAAACTTGGAACAGAGAAGTAAATATGTAATTTTGACCAAAGACAGTAACTCTTTTTGGAGAAAGAGTTACTGTTAGGATGCCCTTTATATCTCAAAAGAGATTGATTGACTCAAAACACACTCCACACTAATCCTGTCTCATTAACATAACAAAAACATATCCCAAATGGAATTATAACCACAGTCATAAAGGTCAGAGTTTACAACACATACTTTTGGGGGACACAATTCAATCTATTAGCACGTAAGAACTTTGCCTATAATTGAATCTCTCCCTAACAAAAACTGGACAGAAAAGAGTGATAAAGGTTAAGCTTTTCCCCAAGTATTGCTCTTTAAATAACTCAAATTGAGAGATTTATATATGTCTGAAATACAGTCTTACCAGAATTATAAGAAAGCCTTAATAGACACTCAAAAATCTAAAAGACAATCAATACGAGACAACACAATATAAATTTTCAAATTGTACCATTTCATGGCAACACCTGAAACTTCTGTCTGCTTCCTATAGCCTCAGGATCCTCCCATTAGTATTGCACATAAATCTTACCTCTTCAAGTTTCTTCTCAATCTCTTTAAAAACAAGATTTGACTTAAATCCATCAGATGCAGAACTGGTTGGAGCAGCTTCAATTTCATAGGTTCTAAAAGAACTGGGGGAAGGAAATCAATTTCAATATGTGGAGTTACATAGGTAACTGAATTTTCAACATTTATTCAATTATAATTTTCAAAAATAAGAACAGAGACGGTGCAACTCCTATCCAAAGGAAACACAATCTTTATTAAGCATATAAACAATGAAACTTTTCCCTCTCATGCTGTCAACAAAAACTGAGTGCTCATTAGGTGCTAGGCATTATTCTTAAAAATATGGTAAACCAAAGAACCTACCCTCATGAAGCTGACACGCTAGTGGAGAACAGTGACAATAAACAAGCAGAAAAATAAAGAATATAGTTACCATGAAGAAAAATAAGGGATTTTTAACAATTAAGTAAAGGGATACTGTTGTTAGTTGCTGAGTCAGCTCTGACTCATGTCAACCGTATGTAGAAGAAAACAAGATGCTGCCTGGTCCTATGTCATCCTCATGATTGCCAGCATGCTTTTTAGTCCTTTGTTGCAGCTACTTCATGTTTCGAATGCCTTCCAACCTAGGAGGCTCATCTTCTATGACGACATCAGACAATATTCTTTTGTGATCTGTAGGGTTTTCACTGACTAATTTTCAGAAGGAGACCGTGAGGCCTTTGTTCCAGTCTGTCTTAGTCTGGAAGCTCCACCATGGGCTGATAGGTCATGGTCAAGGGTTTTAAGAATAATGAGAAGACTAGGGGGAGGATGTAGGAGGGGAGCTGTTGCATTGTGGTAAGTTGTAGTCAATGTTATGAGACAAAGTGTATGTGAACTGCTGTATGGAAAGTGAATTTGCTCTGTAAATTTTCACTCAAATCACAATTAAAAAAAAAAGAATAATGAGAAGAACTATAAACTAGAAAATGGCATGATCCAATTACATGTTTCAAAAAAGAAATCTGGCCGGCAGCTGGAAAATGAACTACAAGGGAACAAGTGGGGAGATAGGGAGGCCCATTAAGAGGCTATTACAGTAGTCCTGGTAAGAAATGATGGTGGTTAGAACTGGGCTATAAGGGAGTGGGGAGTAAGGTTGGATTGGAGATTTCTTTTTGACCTTTGACAGAAGATAGGAATTTAACAGCTATGTGCCCAATGGTTGTTTGAACTTAGGAAACAACTAGAGATAAATGGCCTGATGTGGCAGAAGGAATATAGCCTTTATAGTCACAAAGAATCCAAAGGGCCTCCTCCACTCACTAGCTATATGATTCTGAGAAGTGACTTCATCTCTTTGTACCTCCACTGGGGAAAAAGATAAAGTCACTCACTCTGAAGTTAATGGAATCTTGTGTGGAAGGCACCTAGCAGAGTAACTGGCCATGGTTTAAAAAAAAAAAAAAATGCAGCCATGACTGTTATGGGTACCAGAGTCTCAAATGTTATACATGGGAAGAAATTTCAGGGGTCTGAGGAAAATGAGGGCGCCTTAGAATGTGTAGGAGCTCTAGTGGCATAGTGCCTAAGGCATTTGACTGCTAACCAGAAGGCTGGCATTCAAACCCATCACCTACTCCTTTGAAGGAAGATTGGGCAATCCACTTCCGTGGAGATACCGCTTCAGAAACCCAAGGATGGGTCGCCATGAGTTGGATCCGACTCGACGGCAGTGAGTTTGGTTTGGTTTTGAGTTAGCACGTGTAATTGTTAATTGTGTGTGTCAACTTGGCTAGGTTATGGTGCTCCCAGTTGTTTGGCCAAACACTAGTTCAGACATTGCTGGGAAAGTATTTCTATGTGAAGAACATTTAAGTCAGCTGATCTTCAGTAAAGCAGATTACCCTCCATAATGTGGGTAATCATCCAACCAATTAAAAGCCTTAAGAGCAAAAACTGAGGTTTTCTGAGGGAGAATTCTTTCTCAAGACCATTAATGAAACTATTCTGCTAGCGTTTTCAGCTCACCACTTGGCCTTCTGATTTTGGCCACAGGACTGCTGGAGTTTCCATTCCGTGGCTTGACCTATGGAGTTTTGACTTGCCAGCCACAACAACTGCATAAGCCAATTCCTTAAAATGAGTGTCTCCCTATATACATACATCTTGTTGGTCTGGTTCCCTGAAGAACCCTGACAAACACAGCATGTTAGCTAATTCTTCTAATCTATTGCAAGCATGCTGGTGATGGCTGGGACTGAGACTGCAACAAACAAGAAAGACATATTTGAAGGAGTCAAGAGTGCAGCAGCTGCCCAGTAAGTACGTGTTTCCTTCTTTCTGTACTTCCCCCTTCCCTCTGATATGCTCCCTTTTTCTCTCTTTCCTTATTCCTACTCCAACTGATACACTTCTCCTTTGCTTTCCCTTTTCTTCTTACAGTTTCATAAATATTTAATGAGTGCCTGCTATATGCCATGCACTGTGGGTGGCACTGGGGCTATAAGAGTGAACAAGTCAGACCCAGTCTCTGCCCTCACTGAGTTTATATTCTCCCAGTGGAGGAGAAAAGGAAGTAGAGAGACAAAAGAATCGCAGGTTGTAGTGGTGCAAACAGTTAGCAAGCTCGGGTGCTAACCGAAATGCTGGAGGCCCAAGTCTACCCACAGGTGCCTCAGAAGAAAAGCCTGGTGATCTACTTTAAAAAAAAAAAAAAATCAGTCCTTGAAACCCTATGAAATACAACAATAAAAATAAGAACAAAAAAGACACCCTCTGGAACACAGTCACCATGAGTTGAATCAACTTAATGGCAGCTGGTTTTTGAGGGTTTTTTTTTTTTTTAAAGCAAGTGTTAGGAAGAAAACCAAAAGTACAACCTACTTTAGGTAGGGCAGAAAGGAAAGCATCTATCAGCACAGGTGAATTTAAGCTAAAATCCTATTAAAGGAAGTAAGGGAGCTAGGTGGCCAAGAGGAAACTGCATGTTTAAAGATCAAAAGGGAGGAAAGAGCTTGGAATGTTAAGAGCCTAAAATAAGACAAGTGTCACGGAACATAATAAGTGGGGGAAGAGTGACATGGAATGAAACTGGAAAGCTAGGCAGGGACAAGATTACGCAGGCCCAGGCAGGGAATTTGGGAAGCTGCTGAAGCATTTAAAAAGACAAGTGAATGGTCTGATGTGTGATTAGTTTTACAACAAGTGCAGAATGAACAGGGACAGGGTAAGAACAAGGGACCAAAACTAGTCAGGAGGCTGTGGGAGTAATCCAGATAAGAGATGATGCTGGTCTGGACTACAATCAAGGCAGTCTGCCAGTGGAGGAGAGAAGGAAGCAGATTCAAAATACATTTTGGAAACAGAATCCATAGGACTTGCTGCTGGGGATGGGGGAGATACAAGGGGGATAGGAAAAGACAAAGGAGTCCTTGGGTAGCATCAATGGTTAAGCACTTGACTACTGGACAAAAGGCTGACAGTTCAAACCCACCCAGAGGCACCTTGGAAGACAGCCCTGGCAACCTGCTTCTGCTTCTCAAAGGCTGTTGTTGTTAGGTACGGTAGAGTCGGTCCCAGCATGATGACCTTATGTATATCAGAACAAAACACTGCTCATTGTTGCATCTCATTGAGGGTCTTACTCTTTTTTGCTGACCCTCTACTTTTAAAACCAAAAAACCAAACTCACTGCTGTTGAGTCCATTCAACTCATAGCAACCCCTCCTTGGGTTTCTGAGGCAGTACCTCTACAGAAATAGATTGCCCAACCTTCCTTCCTTCAACTGGCTGGTGGGTTTGAACTGCCAGCCTTCTGGTTAGTGGTCAGATGCCTTAGGCACTACGCCACCAGAGCTCTGACCCGCTACTTTACCAAGCATGATACCTTTCTCCAAGGACTGGTCCCTTCTAAAAATATGTCCAAAGTATGTGAGACAAGTCTCATTATCCTTGAGAATCAATGGTATATTCAATATTCTTCACCAACACCATAATTCAAATGCATTAATTCACAGCCTTGAAAACTCTATGGAACAGGTCTACTCTGCACACATGGGGTTGCCATGAGTTGGGTGTGACTTGATGACAATGAACAACAGCAAGGAAAAGGCAAGAATGATTCACATTTTTGGTTTGAGTAACTGAGGGGATGGTATTATTTACTAAGACAAGGAAGAACATAGTAGGAGTGTGTATGTGTGCATGGGGGGGGTAAGAATCAAAGTCCTATTTTAGGCATATTAAACTTGAGATGTCTGTGAGATAACAAGCAGTTGGATATGAGAGTCTAGGGTTCAGAGACATCAAGCTGAAGAAGTCAGGGTGATCATTAGCAAAGTCAGAGTATATAAACCACAGTAACTGACAAACTCACCTTGAGGGAAATCATAGAGAAAGCAGAGAAACCAGGCCAATGCCCTCTGGAACCCCATTATTTAGCAGTCTAGGGCAGAAGAAGGAGCAGCAGCCAGTGACACAAGAGGAAAACTAGAAGTGGTGACATGGAAGTCAGGGGAGAGAGAATCCAGGAGGGAAGAGTAAACCATGTCAAATACTGCCAAAAGGCCAAGTAAGGTGAGAGCAGAAAAGCATGCACAGAATTTGGCAACAAGGAGAGTATGGGTGACCTTAACAAAAGCAGTTTTAACAAAGTGGGAGGAAGGTGAAAGTCAGGTAATAGTGGATTGAAGAGTGAATGATGAGCATGGCTCTTTAGAGATGTTACTTTTAGGGAACAGTGAAATGGGGTGGTTATCTGGAGGAAATGTGGTATCAAGGAAGATCTGCTTTTATTTGAAGATTACCATACCACAGTCTATTTCCCTGATGATGGTCCTTAACTAGGGAAAAGTAAGTGAAAAGACAGAAGTATTGAAAAGGTGGTAACAGGGAACCAGTGGCCTGTGACAGGAGAGTGACGGAAGAAAGAAGACCACACCTGTACAATTGTAGGTCTATGTATCTACGGATTGATGAGAGACTTTGAGACTAATGACTTCTATTTTCTAAACAAAGTGTAATACAAAGTAATCAGCTAACAGGGAGAGTGAAAGGGTGGGCACAAAATTCTAAGAAGTCTAATAAGTTGAAAAGTGAGCCTTCACGTTACTATCATGAACAAGGCATGCACCCTATG